AAAAAAAAACAAAAAAAAAAACCCCACAAAAAAAACAACGAAAAAAAACACCAAAAAACAACAACAACCACGCACGTGTGCGCGCGTGGCAGGGCCGACGACAGATCAGTTCCGATACATTGAGTATCCCTACTGAGAGAACAACTCCACTGTCACACAATGTCACGAGAGCAATAAAGTGCATCGCGACCTCGCTCCACAGAACAAGATAAGCCGGGAGGGGGGAGGGGTGAGGGGAGGAGAAGACGTTGTCGTTAGATAAGTCCGTAACCAGCACTTCTGATCAAGAAATCTACGCGTTTTGTTCTATCGACGACCTAAGCTCCAACTCCTTTTCGGGGGTGCCATTCACTATCGCGATCTGTTCTCGTCGTTGTTCCTGTTTCTGCACTATTGAAACTAGTCTACGAAGAGATGTATGGCTTTAAACAATCTTAAGACCTTGAAGTCTTGCACCAGTTCAGTTCCAGTCTAGCTCTGTTTGGGGTAAAAAGAATCACATCGACGCAGTTATGATCTTTCAGTGCTGGAAAACATATTATAACGACCTTCAAAGAGAAACAACATACCACAAGGAGGGTACAGAAAAAAAAGGACAATGATATCCCGTCATTAAATCCGCACCCCATCGATGGGACTCACCAAAAAAAAAAGCGCAGTAACTATTCGGAGACGTCTCCGACGAAGATAGACCAATCAAAGCGCTTTGTACCTCTAGACCAAGTTAAAAAAATCTGGGGGGTTAGAGGGGGGCATGCCACCTGTTTTAACCCATAATTTGAAAATATTAATTTGCAGTTAGGTTTGAAATTTTCTTGTAAATGTAATTTGTGACAATTATTTTGGCAATATTAAGTGTGATCCGCAGCAAACGATACGCAGTTTGACTCCCCAAAGGAGGGAGTAAGTCTTCCAATAGTTCATGGGTGCTCGCCGGAGACGTCTCTGAAAATCTTCTGTCCACCGGTTCACTCTCAGTACTATCAATGGCTTCCTTCAGAGTTTACAGGTGGGGCGGATGCTGGAAAATAGATCTACGTTTAGGCAGCAGGAAATGTCATCCTCCCAAAGGCATCACCGAACCCTCCTTTTCGCGCAAGCCGAAGTCACCAACACAATAATATACATGTATATATTATTATTATTAATATTAGCGTGCCGATTTTTTTTTACTACCATGAAAGGGGGCATCAATTCCGCGGAGATGTCGATAGCGGTTGCTTGAATATAATAATGACTAATGTACACGAGCGGAATGTCATTGTTGTCGAAACATAACATATTATATTCGTGCATGATGGTTAGTTTTTTGTTTTTTTTTAACCTTTAATCCTATCCGTACGTCGTGTTTTAC